ATTTGTTACCTCATTCTTACCGCTTCATGTAGTTATTGTCTTATTCTTAGTAATTATTTCTTCATTCTTACCACTGCCTGTAGTTATTGTCTTATTCTTAGTATTTGTTGCCTCATTCTTACCTCTGCCTGTAGACATTGTTTTATTCTTAGTAATTATTGCCTCATTTTTACCACTGCCTGTAGTTATTCTCTTATTCTTAGTAATTATTCCCTTATTCTGACCACTGCCTGTAGTTATTGTCTTATACTTAGTAATTATTCCCTCATTCTTACCACTGCCTGTAGTTATTGTCTCATTCTTAGTAAATTTTGTCTCATTCTTATCACTGCCTGTAGGTATTGTATTTTTCTTACCACCGTATTTACATATTTCTACAGTGTACCAGGTGATGCTGTCCTGCTGGTCCGAATCACCACATGATAGACCTGAGTATAGCAATATTGTGACTCTGATGAATGATATGCTGAAGCAGGTAGGTAGCTCTATCTTGCACGGTTCCCTGAGCTGTGTTTGGCTTTGATTTTATATTGCACGGCTTCCTGAGCTGTTTTTTTGTCTTTGATTCACTTGCACGGTTTTCTGAGCTGCTTTTGGCTTTGGTTCGGTTAAAGGTTTTCCGATTCTTTGACCCTCTCATCACACGTGCGACGCTTATCGATAACTTGTTAGTTCTGACACTCTCTGAATGTGTGTTCCAGGCTTTGCGCTTCAGCTCCTCATCCCAAGTACTCTCTCGTAGAATATCCTCGGCGTCCCGCATTTCGGGCATGTCAGGTAGGTTGGTTACTATACATAGGGGAACAGAATTGGTCAAAAATGAAATACTAATATGTAGGTGAGGACTATACAATGTGGCCCTGTGTGTGCAGGGTGGTGCAAGCTCGCTGCACAAGCACGGTAGTCATAGGTTTTCAGGGTTTGGGCTGAGAAGGATCTATGCTTTAAGGCTTCTTTGCACCCTGATTCACACAGAGTCAACTGCTCGGATACTTGGTGTGTCTATGTGGCATACGGCTCTGGGTCGTATAGTGGTTTTAGTTTGATCACTGCCTCTTCGTTGACACCACCTTTGTACTCCTTGTAGCCATCTCTAAGCGTCCCTCGCTGTCCACGTCCAACACCGTTGCGACCGTTCCAGAGACGAACACCAGCACAACGCTGCCTCTTACCAGCACAGTGGCCCCTATTACCAGCACAGTGCCTCCTATTACTAGCGGGCAGATGCTGCAGTCTCAGATCAGTTACATGAATATTGGCAGGTATGTCTGTAGCTCTCAAAGATTCATCCCGCTTTTGTACATACGCGTGTAAACTACTTGCAGGTGTGTCTGTATCGCTCGAAAATTGGCCACGGTTTTGTGCGTGCTTTTGAGTGTTATTTAAGCCTTTGGCCACTCGACTGCATGCATGGTTATCCTTTATCGCGCTGGACCTTTCACGGCCCAGGAGGAAATTCCGACTGAGTCTGGCTGTTCATGGCCGCAAGGGGGCTTCTAGTTTACATTCCGTTGTAGAGATGGTAAAGAGGGTCAAACTCTCACCGCGAATCTCTTACACTTTCTACGCACTTGCACACAGACTACCACAGACGAATGTCAATACCTCAATTTTTGGTCTGGGTTCAACTATAGTGGATACTCGGTAAGTAGACCGATAAAGTTACTTCTGTCATTTATTATTGACTATAGGGCCTCCATCATGGTCTTTGTTTGTCCGGATGCGCGTCGTGTGTATAGATAGCTCTACCACACAGCACGGTTCAATAAATCACCCCACGCGCTGATGACACCCCCTCCCCTAATGCAGGCCAACCCCAGTGCCGAGACAACAGCAACAATTAGTAGCGACAGACAGCAGAGCACAGTCCCTGTCTCCACTCAACCCTCGCACGCGCTCGATATCAGCCGCTCTATCTCACACTCAGTCGAGAGCAGGGCCGGAATCGCCAGTAACCCGAAATATAGTCAGTAGTGACGGGAACTACTTGGTCGCCTCCCGAGGCCCTAATAGCTCGGGAGTGTTTATGAAGCGAGATGGTGCCTGAGCTTAAGCGTATTGGCTTGCTCGTTGTATCGGGCGAGCCAAGTCATGTGAAGAAGACAAAATGTATGTATATCACTGCGCCGTGTGGTCTATTGTGGGTTATGGGCACACCATAGGCATAGGTGCACCTGCCGAGTGTCGACTTACTACGGAATGCAGGCGTATGTAATGCGGCATTATTAATATATATCTTAGTGCATAATTGCCATATAATACTACTAATGCAGGCGTATGACGTATGGCGCTCGACGAGTCTAAATGTTTTGTACACTGCGCCTGACTGGGCCAAATGTGGTGAAGTGAGATTTACACATAGCTAGTGAAGATAGTGGAATGTACTCACATCACAGTGTATGTACAATGCCCAAGAGACAGGCGGGTGTCATCACTATTGCGCTCACGGCGGATGTGCGCTTTTATTTGAGGTACATTGATGCATAAGAAATATCGATGATTCAAGCGTAACTTACAATGCGAAAAAAAGTGTTGCGGTCTAGCCGAATATGCTTCGAACCGTGCGCCTCGAATTGATGAAACACGCACATGTACCAAACACACACATGTACCAAGTGCATGAGCATGAAGTCAGACTCGTACTCGCCGAGCGAATCAATATGTCTGCCTTTACGCATAGTAGCCTACCGGGATAGACACAATATCTACGAAGAACTCAAGACTATCGGAAAGCTACATATCCAGATGAATTGATTCGGATGCACGCCGATAGGTCGCCGGAATGACACTTAACTAACTAATAACATATAGAGCAATATAGGTAGAACTACCAGTGTGCAAAATTACATGTAGGTATGATTAGTATTGAAATGAATTGACTAGCAGGTACACGATATATCATGCTTGCAGTGATGCTGTATTTAGTTGTATGTATGATTACGGAACATCACTGGATATAGATTACCCCGACCATGTACGACGATGCATTTGTTCCTCTGCTAGTATACTTGGATAAGATAATTACTGTTTTCGGACCCTTTGTATCATGAACGCCAATATGTCGCGGGTCAGTGCTCTCGATAGTAAGCGCTTCTGTGAGCATCATTTCACAATGGCAAGCTTCAATGTTTCAAGTTACATTTAATATCACAGTTGAGGGCGTGCAAACGACTTCCATACAATAAACAAACTGTGGGATGAGTTCGTGAATGATATGCACAATACACACTCACCTCAAACGATTGTCTGGTCAGCTGTTGGATCCTCGTGACGAATTGCATTGAAGCTGTCCTTGTTCTAAGAATTAAAAAAAAAATTGATCTATCTTCGATTTTATTCGAGAGATAAAGCTCTCCAACAGAGGAATACGTCGTGAAGAGCGCCTATTTGGGTGAGTGTTACCCACAGAAATAACCACATAACTGATCTCTTCGCTTTGTTGTTTTGTTGTATGTTCGCATGTGTTGATTCTTCGCACATGCTGCTTATTTTGCATATGTTGCTTCTTGTGTTGCTTCTTCGTATGCATTGCTTCTTCGCTTGTGTTGCTTCTTCACATATGATATGTCTTCGGACATATTGTTTCTTCGCTCTTCGCATTCGTTGTTTGTTCGCATGTATTGTTTCTTCGTATGTATTCTTATTTCGCCCGTGTCATGAAAATTCCCCCCCGCATGTATCATTTCTTCACCTGTATTGTTTCGTCTGTTTCGTCGTATTTGTTGTTTTTTCGAATGTATTATTTCTTCACATATATTGTTTCATCGCATTTGTTGTTTCATCGCATATATTGTTTCGTCGCATTTGTTGTTTCTTCGCATTTTATGTATCATCACATATATTGTTTCGTCGCATTTGTTGTTTCTTCGCATTTTATGTATCATCACATATATTGTTTCGCCGCATTTGTTGTTTCTTCACATTTTATGTATCATCACATATATTGTTTTATCGCATTTGTTGTTTCATCGCATATATTATTTCTTCACATGTATCCTTTTATCGCATTTGTTGTTTCATCGCATTTGTTGTTTCTTCGCATTTTATGTATCATCACATATATTGTTTCGCCGCATTTGTTGTTTCTTCACATTTTATGTATCATCACATATATTGTTTTATCGCATTTGTTGTTTCATCGCATATATTATTTCTTCACATGTATCGTTTCATCGCATATAATGTTTCGTCGCATTTGTTGTTTCTTGGCATGTATTGTTTCGTCGCATTTGTTGTTTCATCGCATATATTGTTTCGTCGCATTTGTTGTTTTCTCGCATGTATTGCTTCGTCGCATTTGTTGTTTCTTCGTATTTTATGTATCATCACATATATTGTTTCGTCGCATTTGTTGTTTTTTCGCATGTATTATTTCTTCACATGTATCGTTTCATCGCATTTGTTGTTTCTTCGCATGCATTATTTCTTCGCATATAGTGTTTCGTCGCATTTATTGTTTCTTCGTATATATTGTTTCGTCGCACTTGTTGTTTCATCGCATATATTTTTGTTGTTTCATCGCATTTATTATTGCTTCATCTATATTGTTTCTTCGCATGTGCTATTTGTTCACACACGTCGTTTTTTTGTATGTATTATTCATGCGCATTTGTTGTTTCTTCGCATGTGCCAATTGTTCACACACGTCATTTTATCGCATGTTTTATTTATGTGCATGTTTGTTCTTACGCGTATGTGTTGTTTCTTCGCCATTACTATTTATTCACACGTGCTAGTTCTTCCGATGCGTCGTTTCTCTGGATGTGATGTTCCTTCGTATGTGATAATTCTTCGCACATGTTATATCTTCGGACGTACTGTTTCTTCGGACGTATTGTTTCTTCGTATATACTGTTTCCTGGCACGTGTCGATTTTCGCATGTGCTGTTTTTTCGTAAGTGTTGTCTATTCGTATGTGTAGTTTAGTTGCCTGTATTGTTCCTTCGCATGTGTTGCTCCTTCGTATGTGTCGCTTCTTTGCATGTGCTGTTTCTTCGAAAATGATATTTCTTTGGACGTATTGCTGCTTTGCATGATTTGTTTCTTTACAATTGATGATTCCTTACAAGTGCTATTTTTGTCACATGAGTCGTTTCTTTGCATAGTCGAGTGTCTAAAATTCTGAAATTTCGTCGAGTATGCTGCATGCGGTACCGCCTCTCCGTATCAAAGGACATCTCATCGCGCCAACGCTAGTAGGCCCCCCAAATGCAAACACTCTCATCTGACGCCAACTTATCCCTCCCATGTCCATGGCGGCGAAAATCTTCGAGACTTCTCCACAGCCTTCCGAATACTTAGGATTGCATACTGTCCCAGGGCATACCGGGTATCCACTTTATCAAACATATGGACCACCTCGTAGCCATTACTTCAGGCTATAGTGTCCTTCCGGGCGTATAGGTTTCATGAGTTCAGCTGGCGCCATCCGCAAAATCGGATGGCAATATTCAAGACATTTCATTCTTTCAACGGCCACTTATGGTCTGAGCATCATTGCATGGGCTCCACCTATATGGCATGACGCGTTGAAGCCACTGTACGAGCGGTACAACTAAGCACTAATCTAAGCAGCAGCTATCATAACTGGCACTGTATTCCCAGAACTTCCATACTAGCGTATAGACTTTTCCGCTTCTGCGGTTTATTTCCAGCACGCCAATTTACGGAGTACCTTGGTGGCTGCCTGGGACTATATTTTGAAATCGTTATTAACGTATTCAGAAATACGTCTACTTCTGTAGTCTCTCAGAAATGCTGCTGTAGAACACTTTAAAACTTTGATACTATTCCCAATTGATATCTCTGCTACTCATTCTCACGCTGACCATATGATATCTTTCAGCATATAAAAGGAGGGGGGGGGGAATACTGGTTACCGCTTCTTCGCCTTATAGAGCTTGACTTGTCTCTATGTTGCGCATATATGGTCATATGAATGACGCGCCAGATTGGGGCCGCCCGTCAGTCAGTTATCTTGTTTTTTGATCAACTGTTTGCCGATCAAAGCAATATAGATATTTGTTCTTCGTACGAATCAATACTTATACACTTGCGTACAACCCGATAGTGTTCAAACATATATAGGGCTGAATTATCGACTTGGAACGACCTGAGTTAAGAAACTCGATCTCTCGGGAGTGAGGCAAATAAAGATTTCAATAAATCGAACAGTATTTATTTTTGCTGTATAAGCCGATCTGAGGCATGTAGTCTCACACTTTATTTTACAGTTAGGAGTTTTCCTGCACAATAGTGATTCCTGTCACTGTACAGAGGACTACCAAATCCACGAGTGCAAGCAATTTGACACTCCAGAGTTTCAATCTTCCATCTTCAGCCATCAAGTACCAGAAACAACCGTATCAAATCAGCCTTCACACTACAGTCAACTTTCTACACAGGATCATGACTTTCTCGTTGTTCTCGCTGTGCTGTACTATACAAAGTTGTGTCGGGTGTCAGTGATGAACATTCTGCCATAACCGCCAGTAAATATAGTATTGATAGCACATGTAAATAGATATCCTGGCTCAGAACAATCACTTCTGTCGAATTTACTTCCAATAGTTACCAATGATGAGAACCACAACAAATACTGTTGTGCAAAATTGGGTAAGTGCTCGTGTAAAAAATTCGCCAGTCCTAATGCGAATACGATATCCCTCTGACATCTTGGTATTGGCCAATCGATTGAACTTTGCTGTTTCTCATTGTTAAAGTCAATCCCGTTTGCAGATACCTTCTTCTCGAGTACCCTCTTTCATTTCTGGTTACGTTTGAAGTCACTCTCCAAGATACTGTAAAGCGTATGCAGCTTCTATGCGTCCCTTTAGGCTCTGGTATCTTACAGCATTTTACGGCCTGCTTGTCTACGAAGTAGCGATCGCGATGAACAGAGAAGTACTTTAAATTTACTAGCGTATCGAACAGAGAAGTACATTCAAAGTATTCTGATTCTCCTTCATTTCTCCTCATGAACGTGGACGTCGATGGCGTTGTAGCTTACATTCGCTGCTGCCTGATCTTGATTAAATTTAAGCGGATGTCGTGGAGATAGTGATTGTTTTATCACTTCGCGGAATACATCAAAAGAAGGCTTCACCAGTGACGTCATATCTTGTAGAATGTTCAACGCAAAACTCAAATCCGCTGGTTACAGATGCTTTTTCGCCAGGTGACTTAACAATTGTTAACTTCTGAATACTGCAAGAGCTACACAATTCGGTTGGTATCAATTTCATGTGCCTGGCTTTGAGCGTGTTATAACTGACATACGCTCCCGGCGAATAATGTACACATTATCGCATGGCGCTACCTGGGAAACAGCGTGGTCGTTGGTTGTGCTATCTGGTTAATAAAATGATCACGCTCCGACGTCCCATTGTCGTGAATCGAGTCGACGCCCTCCATTGAAAATTGACGAAGTCGA